CCCCAAAACCCCAAAACCCCAAAACCCCAGACCTCTATCAGATAATTGAGAATTGAGAAAATCTGGATTTAGAGTTTATTAAATCAGGAAAACTCTGGAATTGAGCAACAAGAAATTAGTTAATGGAAGTAACAAGCTCGTATCGGCATTCAAGTATTTTTAATGCCTTATATAATTTATGCCATAATTACCTCAACGGATAATATCTTGCAGAACTCAGCTTGAGCGAACATTACTTCGTTAGTTGTCTCTAAACAACTTCACGGCTCCTTCTTATTATACGTAATCTATGCTTTTAAACTGGATTACTTGTGTATTTCTTCATGCTAAATATTTAAATTTTTTACTTCATAAATTTTTGAAAAGTTTAACATTCCTTAATATTCATGATTCCCTAAAAATATTTCAAAATTTGGCAAGGATTTAAAAATTATAAAAGATTTAAACAGAAATATAAGCAAATATAGGGAGGCTTGAGAAACAAACCCAGGTATCTGCTCTATTATTGAGCCTAGTAGGGTCCCTGTCTCAGCATTGTGTAGTGATTTAGATATACACTCCCAAGATGGGATACCAACTTGCTCTTGCCTAACAACTAAGGAGAGAGATTCAACTCACTTAGCCCTTATGTTTGGCTTAATTTTGTTATAAGATCTAACTTGAATCACTCTTAACAATTTAGAACTAAATTTATGGATTCATGGTCCACGAAGAAGTGTGAACTTCTACATCATGAAAACTCTGAGATTTACTGACACTATATTTAAGAGCCCAATTGGATATGGAAATCCCTGTTCAAAACCCAGAAAAAACCTGAATTAGAGGCATAGATAAGAATTAGAGAGCATAAATAGTTTCAGAGAGTAATCCATGACTCTAGATTTCAGCTAACTCAAAGTACAATTATACGAAGAAGCTTTCTGGCCATTCTCTTCTTCCCTGTATCTCTTAGGTGCTTCTGTAGATTTTTTATAGCACATTCCCAACCTAAATCACAAAATCTCTCAAATCAAGAGTGAAACCTGGATACTGGTGAACATGAAGTCTTGACTAACTTAGCCGAGGTTATGGGTGAAGCTCCTGTAAATACCCACAATAACAACTAGGAAAGCGAATTTTGCCTTAGCATCGATCTTGGGTTGATAACCAAGTTATTATAAATCCTTAGAATAGTGACCTAGATCCAGAGAAAACATGCAAGAATAACTTCTTAATAATGTTTGATCGAATTAGAATATTTTACCTAGGTATCAGCATCACTCGTGGCTGGAATCTGGACAAATTATCGAAGGTTGGAAGGGGCTTCTATCAAACGGATATTTCCATCCAACAACTTGTGGTAAAAATTAAGGATTATTATAATCTTGTTAACACCTTCTTTGTACATTCCTTGCAGAAGTGTGTAGTTCCTTGCTAATTATCAATAATTTCAGATTTTATAATCAATTTAGTGATTCCTTGCTGGGGTTTTGGGGTTTTGGGGTTTTGGGGTTTTGGGGTTTTGGGG